CGGGGGGGGAATGGTCGTCTCAGGAGAGGTATAGACGTTGTGTCCCTATTTCTCCCGTCGACACCACCTGGCAGGACGGGGGGACGCAGGTCAGGACGCAGCTGCCCCTTAGGCTCTGCTGGGCAATTACGATGCACAAGTCCCAGGGGCAGACTTTAGCCAAGGCCGTCATTGACTTGGGGCCCAAGGAGGCCTGCACGGGGCTTACTTTCGTCTGTCTCAGTAGGGCGAAGAGACTTGTGGACCTCATGGTAGAGCCCATGAGTTTCGACAGGATTGGTAACCTTGGAAATTCGCCGACGATGAAGGCTAGGCTGCAGGAAGAGGTTAGACTTGGGGAGTTAGCACAGAGTACGAGGGTCAAGTACACGGACATGGGCGTCTTCAGCGCCGTCGCGGGTAACCAATGACGTGAATTGCAAAGAGAAAAAGAAGAAGAAAGGGTCTCTTCCACCTCCCGCGGACGCACACGTCTGACGACAGTTACATCTATCAGCTGTCGCTCGTTTTAGCGACAGCTACTATATCTTTATATTTTTTCGCATAAAAGCGATACTCAAATGTTCCTCTGGCAGATATTCGCGCGCAAATGTTTGACAACAGTGGAAGATAATTTTCCAAGATTTTGCGACCATTAACATGGGCCTTCGCGAGAGGAAAAACGAGAACTATTGCTAGCATACATACGAAGGCCGTGAGAAATGAGGCCCGGCATTCACTCAGGAGGTGACCTTGCCCTGATTGGTCGAAGAACAACAAGAATCATGAATAGCCGAAAATAACGCTTTGTCAGTTACTCGTACCGTAAATGTCGGAGAGATAGCCCGTGTTAGGGTTTTGCTATAGCCTATTTCTCAACCACCAGCACCAGTGGGACAACACTGCCGAAACGGGTAGTTTTGGAAACTTCTCGTCGAGGGCTTTCCTGAGAGGTATCACCGGTTGGTGTTGGCACCTTCCTAGTTGTGGAGAAAATACGCTATAAACAAAAAATTGCACGGGGGTGCTATGATATATAATAGCTATCTCCTCACCTCGTACGGTGCTGCCCTAGAAAAAATTACAAGCTTCGAAGAGGACGTTTCACTGGTAGAAAATGAGAAAAAAAGACAAGACAAAAAAAAACTAGTGTTCCCGGCCAGCAGAGTCGATTTTGAATATTGATTCATGCGATTTGGGGAATATGGGACATCGTTGAAAAAATAGATGACCGACAAGCCGGCGTGGCGCTCAACACAATATTTACAACCTACTCGGAGTATCGATCTTGCGGATGTCATAAATAAAATAAAATAAAACACGGATGAAGACTACCACATGTGTTCGCAGGAGGGGGTCCAACCCCCCCCGCCAATATGACCCCGGTTGGGTCATCTAGCTGGTAGAAGTGGAGGATAGGGGCCAGAGGGGCAGACGACAGCGTCCAATGATGGGAGAGCAAAAAAAAAAAATGTAGTAGAATGCCGCAAAGGGCGGAACGACCATACCCCTCCTAGACCAAACGCTGGTGCTAACTGTACCGTACCGTACCGTACCGTACCGTACACCGCACCGTGCTATTGCGTAAGAGGCGGAGAGACCGCACCGCCTAGACCAAACGCTGGTGCAACCTGTACCGAACCGTATTCCGTACCGTGGTATTCCGTAAGAGACGGAGAGACCACACCCCTCCTAGACCGATTTTCCCAGGTCGATTACTCCACAACCAATGGGGTGCGGAAAGAGCCCGGTACCTCTACGGAACCCCGTCGACGAGATGTTTCCAATGCCACTATTCTTGGTGTTGGCACAAGCCTGGTTGTGGAGCAATCGACCTTTGAAAATCGGTCTAGGGAGGGCGCCATCTCTCCACCTCTCACGGAATACCACGGTACGGTATACGGTACGGCACAGACAATCTTGGTTGTGGAGCAATCGACCTGTGAAAATCGGTCTAGGGAGGGCGCCATCTCTCCACCTCTCACGGAATACCACGGTACGGTATACGGTACGGCACAGACAATCTTGGTTGTGGAGCAATCGACCTGTGAAAATCGGTCCAGGGGGGATGCCATCTCTCCGCCTCGTAAGGTATTTGGACAGCCCGGCGGATTGTGGACTCGTGATTAAATCGATTTTCATACGTAGAAACAGCGTTTACACACGACCACCGCTGTACCTACCTGACGTCTTAGCAGCAGCGGCAGCGGCAGCAGCCTCGCCCCAGGGTTTTGTGAAAAGCTTGAGACGGTGTCGCAAGGGGGCGTTCCCTGGCCTCGGCTCCAGATGCTTCGCGACCGCCTAAGGATAAGGAAGGGTGGGAGGATGACTTATTACGGCGGCAACAGTAAGTAGCAGTGAATCGCAAAAAAGGGGATAGTTCAGTTCGGCGTTCAGTAGAGCTCATGATGGCGCAGATGAGATCCCCACTAATTGACTTGACGAAACCACATGATCAAACAGAAATTTCGGCACAAGGTGCACCATCCCGAAAACGTTCGTTCGATTTGCTCCAACTTGCTCCAATGAACTATGTGCCACCGGAATAGTTGCCAACACAGATAGCTCCCAATGAGTGCCCGCTTCAAAGGCCCAATCAGTCCTCCAGAATCTAGACCACTACTGCTCCAGGTGGCATGGACATCACAACCCCTGCACCAATCATGAACGCTCGATTACTCCGCAGCAACAAAAAAGAGCTGTATACGGCGACGTTGTAACCGTCCGTACTGGTTTATCGTTCTGCGGAGCACAATGCCCCCCCAAACAAAAACGAAGTCCTTTCAAGCGGAGGGGAGTGTCCTGATTGTCGGCGGTGTCCTACAACAATCAACCAGAAGCTTTCGCAGGTTTTTTCGTATGATGTAAACACGCCTTATAAGGAATACAATCGGGGAAGTTGGGTGAGGGTTAGGGTTAGGGAATCGGGTCTGCGTCTTCCCTCCCCGTTCTTTCTACTCGTTGACTCAGTAACCGGCGAAGGCGGTCGACAAAATCGCGGGGGACAGTGACCAACAACTGCACACCTCGAGAAGCGAAACCTCTTCGGATACCGTTGGGTCCGAGACTGTCACATCCGCGTTGCCCCTCCCTTCCCCCCCCCCGGCACCGCTCCCGCCCCGACCCTCCACCGCTACAGCCGTGCAGAACACCCATTCGACCTTCCACAGCAGCGTTGACGTGGAGCGAACAGACTGGCCCCCGCCGCCGCCGCCGCCGGTTTCGATCCTGATGATACTGGAGCCCGGTAGAGAGGCATTTTCCAGCTCTAGCAACTCCCGCGATGTGGGTTTTGCAACAGCCGGTCGTAGTATTGGCGGTGATGGTGACGACACAGATGGTTTTCTCGCCCTGCCCGTGGCCGGGGGAGCGCCATTGCTGGCAGGAGCACCGATAGGCTCCGCCGTTGCAGCACCGTTAGGTCCCGCCGTTGCAGCACCGTTAGGTTCCACCGTCGCAGCACCGCTAGGTTCCGCCGTTGCAGCACCGCTAGGTTCAGTAGGCTTTCGCACCCCTGCCGCTGCCGCTGCTACCGCTGCTGCTGCTGCTCCCGCTGCCTGGCCGGGTCCATCACCACAAACACCAGCTGCTGCCGCTAGTCTTCTACAAGTGTCCGCACCGCCGCCAACGACAACAACAGCCGCTCCTGCTGCCGCCATCGCTGGCTGACCGCGCCCATCCACACCACCGTCACCACTACCTACCCCCGCCGCTGGGTGCCTACCCCCCCCCCCCCCCCCCCCCCCCCCCCCCCCCCCCCCCCCC